GGAAGAGCATCTCTCTGTCTCTGTCTCTCTCTTCTCTTCTCTTCTCTTCCTGCATATATACCTACCTACATACAGATGTGTGTGATGCATCCTACTTATACCCACCATGTACCTCTCCAATGATCTGTGAATTACTTGCAATTTTGATTCTTCAGAGATCACGCTAGTCTATGATTTACTGGTATATAATATCACCAAGAAAAGATTGGTACTATAAAGGTAGGTTTTTGTGTGAGGATACAGGGATAACTGAAAATTATACGTGTAATTCTCCCAAAGCAATCAAATTTTATATCCTCTTTGTAGTCAATTATGGACCCAGCTTTTTCATTTGCAGCATCTGTCTAGGACCTGTGTACTAATGGACTAACTCAACATGCTGTCCATTCAGTGGCACATCGCAGTCTAGGCAATACGCATTCTTCATCCACTTGCTATTTTTCTCCCATTTGAGATACCAGGCCTATCTCTTTGGGTGGCTATGGCTCTCATTTATGTAATAGAGGTGGGTAAAGTTCCCCAACACTGCTTTCCCCATGATTCCTTGATAATCTACTCAGGGCTTGGATTCTAGATACTTTCCTTGGCTCATCCCCCAGCCACTAGACACTCATACAGATCCGGGCATTAGAAATAATTTAGACTTAACGTCATTGTAAAAGCAGAGAAGGATAGCTAAAATAGCATGCAGGAAAATATCGGGAGACAAGTGGCACAGAATGTTGTAGACCTAGTCAGCCAGCATCCCAAAGCACCTTCTTTCCATATACCTGATTCCCAGCCCCTGGAAATATTGGGCCTTTGTTTCTATTCCTGAGTACAGTCTCATTGGACAGTGCTGGAGGCCAAGGGAAAGCCTGGGACTCTAGAGATGAACACCAAAGGGGTTGCAGCCCGCTGTCTGATTCCCCATGCTGTTAGACAAATGGATCACCGAGAGAAATCTGTGTTCATGCTCGGTTGCTTCACAGATGGCCAAGACAGAGAGACTCGGACTTCATCTACTTCTGCTGTCATGGATGAATGCAGTCTTGCATGATCCTTAACCAGGCATGGGGACAAGACTCATGCCTAGTCTAGGATCCATATACGAACTATGCTACCAATTTTTCCAGGGGAAAGTAGGCATAAAATGGTGGGAAATTTTATAAGAATATTGAGAACGCTGGAGAGAAGAAGAATTAATAGACATGAGAAGTGGAAGGACAAGGGAAAATCCTCTTATGGTTGTTAGCTCTTCTCCTTTTCAATCTCCTTCCCAGTATTCTCCTGTCCTACCCTCACCCCTAAACTCCCACCAGTTTGTGTTTACTCACTTCAAGTCCATGTTGGGGTGTGTCATCAATCCCTATTCCCTTACATTGAGAAGACAAGCCATGAAATTCCTTGGGGCTTGATGTGATCACGCAATATCGTCCTCAGACAAGAACATTTGATGGAACTTACCATCTATAGGAAATTCCTCTTCCATTTGGACCAGGTACAACATCCTCCATAATATGCCATGTTAGGCAAGTATACATCATCCCACATCCACATCATCTCAAGGCTTTGCTTGATACAGATATCAAAAGATTGTTGAAGAGAGTTATCTCTGTGGTTGTATTTCTCCAATAGTCTTCTTTTTTTTTTTAAACTTTTCTTTTTCATTGTGAACTTAATAATCAACAAACATTTCAACATACAAAGAACAGGAAAGAAGGTTTATTTTTTTAAGTGAGGCAATTGGGATTAAGTGACTTGCCCAGAGTCACACAGCTAGGATGTATTATGTGTCTGAGGCCGGATTTGAACTTAGGTCCTCCCGACTCCAGGGCCGGTGCTCTATCCACTGCGACACCTAGCTACCCCAGGAAAGAAGTTTTTATAAAAAACTGTAAACTATTGTCATATACAGTTTGTTTTTTAGATTTATATATACATATGCATATATATATATGTATATCTATGTACATACACAAATACATTCACAGGTCCAAATCTCTAAATTCAAATCTCTTTCTTTTATACTATAGATATCTTCCCTGATGTTTTCTTTCTAGATTCTCTATGTTATGTAACAAGACAACTTACTGGACAAGAACTGGTTAATTTAAATCCTGTTACTACTATATTATTCCTCTGTTCAGGGTTTGTGATATCTATTTCCTCTTTCTGAGTGTTTTGTAGTATATTCCAATGAAAAAATCCCTTCTGTTTCTGCATCAGTTGGCCTTCACCCAAATACTCTCCATGGTACTTCCCTGCTCTGAATCCCTCATATAAGTAAACTCTTAGTATCTAGTGCTACAGGGGCAGCTAGGTGGTGCAGTAGATAGAGAGATAGAGCACTAATCCTGGAGTCAGGAGGACCTGATTTCAAATTTGGCCTCAGACACTTACTAGCTGTGTGACCCTGGGTAAGACACTTACCTCAAATTGCCTAAATAAATAAAATATCCAGTGCTACTTCAAACTTCTTTTCACCCTTGGCTCTCCCCTCCCATGTAAACTTTTCTGTTCTTTTTGAGTTAGAAATGCATGTCCAAAGCCATGGACCAGTTGTGGATTTTATCTTGCCTGAGTCTCAGTGATACATATGGAGTCAAATTTGCTACCCTACGTTAAAACCTACAGCTCCTTCTGTTTATTACTTAAACTGTACATTTGTGAATAGGCATTTGAGGCCAAGGGTTTTACTGCTGTTTCCTTACTAGGGTTTTGTCTTCTGTTAACCTCTGGCTGTCTCAACTGCTATGGGTTTTTTTTTTGGTAGCTATTCTCTATGGTATTAACATGTTAAAAATTGTGTGTGTATGTGTATGTATGTGTGTGTGTATAAGCACACATACGTATACACACACAGAGTTCCAAGAGTCTTAGTATAGTTTTAAGCTTTAATTCAACTCCACAAAGACTTTTGGGACACTATGCAAACACATACATACATGCATACATACATATATGCATATTTATACATATGTGTGATATCTGCACGTGTTTTTCTTCCTCTCCCATTTTTTAATATACAGAATATTATTAGATTTTTAAGATATAGGCAAATATCTTTTAAAATTAAATTTTATTTTTTAAATTAACAACCATTTCCCCCCCCTTCTCCCATTTAGAAAGAAAAAAAGTAAACAAAATCCTAATTTTTGTTTGGCATATCCATCGATGGCTAGGAAGCTACACTCCCTATATTTTAAACCATAGTCCAGGAATTCAAATCCCCTTTTCTTTTCAGTGATTTAAGACTCCTTTTTTCTTTAAAAAATTTTAAATAATTTGTTTATTTTGAACATTCATTTAAAAAATTTTAAAGTTCCAAATTCTCTCCTTCCCACCCCTTCCCCACCCATTTTGAAGGCAAGAAATATGATATCATACATGTGAAATCATGCAAAACATATTTCCATATTAGCCATCTTGCAAAAAAATTTTAAGAATGGAAAAAATTATGCTTCAACCTGTATTCAGACTCCATCAGTTCTTTCTGTGGAGGCAGATAGCATTTTTCATCATAAAGTTCTTTGGAATTGTCTTGGATCACTATATAGATCAGAATAGCTAAATCATTCACAGTTGATCATCATACCATATTGCTGTTACTATGTACAATGTTTTCCTGGTTCTGCTCACGTTACTTTGTATCACTTCATATAAGTCTCTCCAGGTTTTTCTGAAACCAGATGTTTGTCATTTCTTATACCTGAATAGTATCACAATCATATACTATAATTTGTTCAGCTGTTCCCCAATTGATGCACATTCCCTTGCCAATTCTTTGCCACCACAAAAAAAACCTGCTATGAATATTTTTGTATAGGTCCTTTTCCTTTAAAATTTTTTTTATCTCTTTGGGATATAGACTTAGTAGTGGTATTGCTGAGTCAAATAGTATATATGCACCGTTTTATAGCCCTTTGGACACAGCTCCAAATTGTTCTGTAGAATGGTTGAATTGGTTTATAACTTCATGAACAGTGTGTTAGTGGTCCAATTTTCCTACATCCCCTCCAACATTTGTCATTTTCCTTTTCTGTCATATTAGCCAGTCAAATAGGTATGAGGTGGTACCTAAATCAATAGTGGTTTAGAGCATTTTTTTCATATGACTACAGATAGCTTTGATTTCTTCATCTAAAAACTTCTTATTCATATCTTTGACTATTTATCAAATGGAGAGTAAGTTGGATTCTTATAAATTTGACTCAGTTATCAATATTTGAGAAATGAGGCCTTTCGCAGAGAAATTTGCTGTAAAAACTTTTCCCAGCATCCTGCTTTCCTTCTAATGTTGGCTGTATTGGTTTTGTTTGTGCAAAAGTTTTAATTTAATGTAATTAAAATCATACATTTTACATTCCATGATCCTCTCTATCTTGTTTGGTCACAAATTATCCATCAATCTGACAATTAAAAATTTCCCTGCTCACTTAATTTGCTTATGATTTACCCTTTTTGTCTATATCACGTATCCGTTTTAACCTTATCTTGGTGTACAGTGTGAGATGTTGATCTCACACTGTAGTTTGTGCCAAACTGCTTTCCAGTTTTCTTTTTTCCCAGCAATCTTTTGTCAAATAGTGAGTTCTTGTCTCAAGAGCTTTAGATCTTTGCATTTGTCAAACACTAGATTACTATGGCCATTTATTCAAATCCTCTTTTCAAGCAATTGCTTTCTTAGTGAGCTGTTCATTTCTCAAATTAATTTCTCTCTCTCTTTTTTTAAAAATCCCTTGCCTTCAAGGGGCAGCAGGGAGGAAAACACAGCCTATATCACTATGGTCTTCAGTTTCTTGTCCAGCATTTCATAATTATTGGCAATAATTTTTATCTTCCTTCTGGCAATGTTATTTGCATCTATATGAATTACTAGAGGTGGGTGGTTGTTATCCATTTTAATAAGTCTTGGGAGGTTCTTTGTTAAGTCTAGTATACATTCCCTCAGGGAAGACAGTAGACTTCTCTATTGTCGTTACCAAGGTGACAGATAGCCTTTTCAGTACCCCTGAGAAGAGAGTCACCAACTACTGCTCCTCTTCTCTTCTCCCTTTGACCCCCGGATTATAACTTCTGTGACTCTACTATATTATTCTTTGGATGACAAGGAATTGCTCTTCTTCCTCAGAGCCTCCAGCTTCCTCTCTCTTCAGAAAGGGTCTCAAATCTGGTTTTAAGCTCCACTTGTACAACTGTCTTTTTCCTTCCTTTTTCTTCTACTCTAAAATCCTGACAAATTAAAATCCTTCCTCCCCCACCTCAGCTTCCTTCCCCCTTCCCCCAATTGCAGCCTCACTTCAGTTTCCTTTAGGGATATTTCATTCATTGTCCCTAACAGCCTAACCCGTGAAGAGACGATTCTAAAGTCCCTTCATTTTCTCCTCCAGGAGGGAGCTTCACCTAACCTGTGGAGCACAGTTCCTTGATTATGGCAGAAATACAAGGAACAGCACACTGAATGTAAATCACTCCATAATTTTCCCCAACTCTCCATAATTGTTTGAGATTTTCAGCCTTGTTTTTTGAACTACTTGTGAGTATTTACACCTCGACCCTAAGCACCAAAAAACTTTAAACCAATTATCACCTCTTAATAACTTGACAACCCCAATCAACTTCTTTTCTTTAGTCTCAACAATTCCACAGCCACACCCATCTCCCCATCAGCCTTGAACCAACCTTCGGTTCTGCCAGTTTGCCCCTCCTCATCAATTTTACTCTCAATTTTAATTGTTCCATTTACCTTTTCTTACTTATCTTGCTTTTTTTTTTTTGGCCAAGTATCTTTTACTTATTTTTCTTGAATCTACCTTTTCAGGCTTTGATTTACTAATCTTCTTTAATCATCCTTAAACCTCCTTAATGCTTTTATGTCCTTCTTAATTGTTCTTCACCCTTCTCTCTCAACCCAGAAGTAGAATCTCCTTCAGTATTTAGGCTTGGAGATTGTTCTTTTTCAATTTTTCCTTAATTTGTTCCCAATTTTCCCTCCCCAAAGTAAATCTCTGACCTACTTCCTTAGTCCAGATCCCTCCAAGTCACCTTGTACATGATTTTCTTCTCTCTTTTTTTTTCCAACACAAGTACCCTTCTTTTCTCTCACAGAGGCCAGGAGTAGGAATCTGCAAATTGTTGTTGTTATTTGTCCTTATAGAAGAGAGCACAAGGAAATAAAAGCTAACCCAGCAGGGTCCCAAAAAATCTGACTAAATTCTAGGTCATCCTTGGTTCGCCAGACTACTGTGGAAGGGCACTGTGACTGAAGTGCTGATCTTAATCAGAGACCTTTATATTTCCTCAACTCTTGATCTGCTGGATTAGTTCTGATTGATATCTATACCTCTAGGGCTGATTGTATCCACGTCTGGAAATGGCAGTGGAATAAAACATTTTTTTTTCCCCACAGAATTATGGCATCTCAAGGTTGGAAGGAACCTCGGAGAACATCTCTCAAACCTGGACCTGAACAAGAATCCTGTCTCCATCATACCTGTCAAGTGGTCATCACTAGCTTTTGTCTCAAGCCTCTCCTCCACCTTCTCCTAGCAGTGCATTTTACTTTTGAATAGTTTTAATCATTGCAAATTCTTATCTTATATAAAACCTAAATTTGGCCCTTTAAAGCTTCTATCCATTGTTTTTAGCTTAGTCCTCTGGGGCTAACTGGAGAAAGTTTAATTCTTCTTTCATGTGCTACCCCCTGAAGTACTTGAAGACAGCTATCATGCCTCCCTACGAGGCTTCTGTTGGCTAATCGATCCTTATATGGCATGAAATAAGGAGGTCATTCTGGTTGCCCTCCTCGGTATCCAGTGGTTTTTTTTTCTTTCAATATTGAAGTATTTGCCCAACATCTGTTGCATGCACACACTATGAAAAGGTCAGGTTGTAGAGGGAAGCCAACAATGCCTCTTAAAAATCTGGGACCAGAGCCATTTGCAGAAATTTGTACAAGTCCAGCCTCAGAGATGGTCATGGGGCACATAATAATATGCAAGCCAACCAGAATTTAATACTGGAAGAGGAGGCCTCTCTAGTTCTCTGTTTTTATCCATGTCACTGGTTAAGCTATATATAGTACAGCATCACACAAGCTAGTGTTAGCTTTGACTAGTTGTTTGGACTGGTCCTGGGTTATAGGCCAGTATATCAGTGACAGGGAACTCTAAACCTGAAGCTTCATGGTGTAGTGGAAAGAGTACTGGATTTGGAGTCTAAAGGACCTGGGTTCAGGTCCTGATTTTGCTATTTGTGACCCCTGTACAAATTATTTAAACTCTCTGCACCCTAGTTCCTCTGTAAAACCAGGGGGTTGGACTCTTTCAGCTATAGATCTGTGATACTGGGAATGATGAGACTTCTTCCCTCTGTTGATTCAACAAAAGATCAAGTTGGAAGTATCTGAGGATGCTGACTGGGTACTGCTGCTGTGGAAATGTCAAAGCCAGAGCAGATGTTTGAAAATCCTTCGACTTAGGCTTAGTATTGTATTACCTTGAAAGGCTCCTCTGGGTTTGCAACCCTTTCCAATAGTCTTTAACTGGATTTAGGGCCAGAGGACGTCGGTTTGCATCCTGGCTCTGACTCTCATGACCTGTCTGACCTTGGGCAAAGCACCTTTTCCCTCTGGGCCTCAGTTGCCTTCACAAAATGAAGGTCTTGGCCTAGATGATTTCTAAGGCCTCTTTTAGGTCTAAATCTATGATCCTATAATCTGGTCTGCTCAACTCTAGTTTCCCTCCTTCACCAAAACGTTCTTTCCACCAAGGAGAGGTTAATCTTTATGGATGCTTCTGATCACATTACTTTTCTGCTCACATTCCTTTGATGACTCATTTTTGTTTACCAAACACCCCTTTGATGGCTTCCTTTTGTTTACCAAATAAAATCCAAATTCTTTAGCTTCCCATTCAAAGTCCTCTGTAATTTTCCAACTTCTTAAATTTCCAGCCTTATCTTGCATTAATTAATCTTTTCCCCTTGTACATGTATAGCTATATATGTACAAGTGTATATATGTATACATATACTATAAGTGCATTTATATATATACACTATAAGTGTGTATGTGTATATATACACATATATACATACATACACACACACACACTATAGCCAACGCAGAGTTCTTGCTATTTTTTTTCTTTTTGGTGAGGCACCTGGGTTAAGTGACTTGCCCAGGGTCACACAGCTGGTAAGTTCTTGCTGTTTCTTATACTATGTTATATGCTTTCTCTTCTCTGTGCCTTTGCTTGTGCTTATGTATCTGAAGTCCTTTTTATTTCCCCTAATCTCCGCTTTTTGAAATCCTACTCACCCTTCCAGTCCCCATTAAGTATCAGATGTCACCACCTGCATGAAACCTTCCTAATCTGTTCAATTGGAAATTACTTTTCCTTCCTTGGGCCTTGTATTCAATTAAATCCAAAAAACAATTATTAAATATCTGTTGTATATAGAGCACCCTTCTAGGTATTGGAGGACAAAAAAAGATTATCTGGGACAAGATCTCTGGCTTCATTGAGTCTAGGAGGAGCATATGGTACATACACAATAATTACAATAAAAATAATACAATGAGAATGTTGTTGTTCAGTTGTTTTTCAGTAGTGACCCCATTTGGGGTTTTCTTGGCAGAGATACTAATTTGTTATATAATCTCACCTGAGCTCTTACTGTGGCAAGGCAATTCTTGCTAAGTCTTATCATTTCTGTTTTCAGAGCATATCTTGTATATGTTCCCTTCTTTCCACTCAGACAGCTGCCACCATGATTCAGGCCCTCATCACCTGAGGCCTAAATGCTGCAGCAGCTTTCTAGCTGGTCTCTCTGCTTAAATTCTTTCCAGTTCTCATCCATCCTCCATTCAACTGCCTATGTGAATCTCCTGAAAAGCAAGCCTGGCTAGGTGACCTTTTTATTTAATAAACTCCAGTGGCTCCCTATTACCTCTAGGATCAAATACAAAATCCTCTGTTTGGTTCTTAAAGCCTTTACAACCTGGCCCCTTCCTACGTCTCTAGTCTTCTTAAATTGTAATTCCCTTCACATACTATATGATCCAGTTATATTAGCTAGCCTTCTTGCTCTTCCTCTCGCATAACATGCCAACTTCTGACTCCATCTCTTTTCACTGGCTGTCCCCCTGTGCCTACAATGCCCTCTCCTCACCTTCACCACTTGGCATCCCTGGCTTCCTTCAAAGTGTCAGCTCACGTTCTACCTTCTACAGGAGACCTTCTCTCCTCCCCCCACCACCTGCACCAGAGCCTTTCCTCTGTGGTTACTTTTGCTTGGTATTGTAGATATCTTGTATTTACCTTGTTATTTGCATTTTGTCTCCTCTTTAAGGACAGAGGCCCTGTTTGTGCTTTTCTTTGGATTCTCAGTGCTTTACACACTTACCTGGCACATAGTAGGTGCTTAATAAATGTTAAGTTGATTGGCTGATGGTTAGAAATGCTGAACACTAGAAAATCAGAGAAATATGGGAAGATTTATAAGAACTGATACAGAGAAGTAAACAAAACCAAGAGAACAGTATAATAATGGGCACTAACAGATCACCAAAGAAGGTGAACAAAGTGAAATATAAAAAGCAGTGAATCCATGACCCTATGATCTATGAAGGTCCTGGAGAAGAGATGATGAAAAATGCCTCCTAAACTCACAGCAACAAGGTGGAGACTTACTTCTAGGACGGAATTTTGTGTACATTATTATAGATATGTTCTTTGTATTGAATAGTTTGAAATTACTTTTCTTTATCATTGGGGAAGTTTAGTCTGGAGAAAAGAACGGGAAATGGCTGTAATATGAAGACTTATGTTATCAATAAAATGTTTTTTTTTTCAAAAGAAAGCTTAAAAATATTTTAAAAATACAATAATAGGTACATAGGAGAGGGACAGAATGTTATGTGGAATCCAAGGGATTTCAAGGAAGAGGTCATTATCAGCTGAGTTGATCAGAGATTCATGGAGAAGATGTCCTTTATCTGGGCTTTAAAGGATAGGTAGGAATTCAGTAGTCAAAGAGGGCATTCTAGCTCTAGGGAACAACATGAGCAAAAGTGCAGAGGTGGGAAAGCCTGGGCTGTGCTCAAGGGAGAGTGACTATTCCCAGTTTGAATGGAGCGCACATGGAGGGGAGCAACATTAGATAAGGCTGCAAAGGCAGAGTGGTGCTAGATTTCAGAGGGCTTTGAATGCAGGACAGGGAGTCTGAGATTTACTCAGTAGGCAATGGGAAACCACTGAGGTGCTTTGGGCATAGGAGACTAGATTCATGCATCATAAGAGTAGTCTGGGAGTGATATGAAGGAGGTTAAGAACAGGGACTAGAGAGGCAGGGAGATTGTTTAGGAAGCTATTTTGATAGTTTAGGTAGGTGGTGAGGAAGGCCTGCATTGAGGTGATGGAAGTGGAAATGGGGAGGGACAAAGAGATTTTGCAGAGGTAGAAGCAGTAAGGGCTGATGGATGTAGGAGGTAAAGGAAAGGGAAGGATCAAAAATAATGCTAATATTTCAAACAGGGAAGGAGGAATGAAGAGTGGTGCCATTGACTGAAACAGTGATGTCTGAAGAAGCAGGTTTTTTAAAAAAAAAGTTCAGTTTTGGACAGGTTGAGCTTGAGGTACCAGTGAGACACTCAGTAGGAAGGAGGGAAGGAAGGAATCAGCATTTATATGGTGCCTACTATGTGCTAGGCACTGTGCTAAGCACTTGTACAAATATTATTTCATTTGATTGTCACAAGAGCCCTGCAAGATAGGAGCTAGTATTACCCCCATTTTACATTTGAGGAAACTGAGGCAAATAGAGGTTAAATAATTTGCCTAGGCTGACCCAGGTAATGAATAGTTAAGGCTGGTTTTGGACTCAGGTTTTCCCAGTGCTGTATCTACTGTGGCACCAGTGGAAATGTCCTGTAGACAGTTGGATTTGAATCTGGAACTTAGAGAAAAGACAGAGAGATAGAGACAGAGACAGACAGGAGAGAGAGAGATAAGGGGAGGAGAGAGAGAGAGAGAGAGAGAGAGAGAGAGAGAGAGAGAGAGAGAGAGAGAGAGAGAGAGAGAGAGAGAGAGAAAATATTATCTGTCAATAGAAAAAGCATCAGGAGAGAAGAGAACCAAGTTAAAAGCTACTTTAATTGTCCAAAAAGAACATGGAGTAGGCAAAGGAGATGGAGGAGGAGGAGTTATAGAGGTAAAGGAGAAGAACCAAGGGAATTATGTAGCTCTTTCTATCTTTCATGCTTTTATGTTTCATTTGGCATTGTAGCTACTGTATTATCATGGTATATTTGTGTCCATACCAAATGGTTGTTGCATGAATGAATGAATGATTTGACTGATGCAGCTGAGGAGCTGATTAGAAATCTAGCCACTCAAGATCCTGAGGAAGGGTCAGAAGGATAGTCTCAGCAAATATGCTAGCATCTATACTCCATACTATACTCTACACTCCATAATATTCTTAGAAACCTGGTTCCTAACATAAAGCTCTCCTTCCCCATAGTGGCAATAGTGGAAACCCTACAAGTTTCATCTCCTTTTCTATAACATTTTCAGAAGGCCTATGTTACGAATTTCTATGATGTAATTTGCAGGGTAGTGTTCCATCTTGTCTAACTAAATCCTAGCCATCTTTCAAGACCAAGTTCAAATGTCACCTCTTCCAGTAAGCCTTCACTATTACCACAACCAGAAGTGATCTCTCCCTTCTCTGAATTCTTATAATGTATTGTTTGTACCTCTTTTATGCACTTACCACATTCTACTTGTATTGTAACTATCTGTGTGTTTAATCTAACCAACCAGATAGGCTGCAAGCTCTTTGGGGGAATTGGCTTTATTGTCATTTATATATCATATCTTATCAATCAGTCAATCTATCCATTATTTATTATCATTGCAACTCACCTAGTACCTAGCGAGGTGTTTTGTGCGTTGTAGAGATTAGGGTTCTGTCTAGACCTGTAATTATACTGGGATAGGGTATTTCACCAGTGAAGTAAATACCTGTACCAGTGCATATTGGCACCTTCTCTGTAACTTAACAGTCTTATTTGCCTAGAGTATGGAAAGGTTAAGTGACTTGTCCAGGGTCACACAGACAATATTTGTCAGAGTGGGACTTGAACCTAGGTCTTCCTGGCTTTGAGCCCAGCTCTCTAGCCATTGTACTACTCAGCCTCTCAGCTTATTAAATTTATAGACTATACCCCTGAGATAGGCTATAACTTAACTTGGAAGCTTAGGGTTAGTCATGAACAAGTGTTCATGGGAGTAGAGCATAAGAGGTATTCCCAGAGAAAGTAGACATTAGAAGGAGGTGAAAGGACAATTGAGAGAAGTGGATTATTCCTTAAAGACAAACCTCACAATTTTGCCTAAACTCACAAAAAGTATCTATTTCATTTTATTTTATGTTACACTTTTAAATCACTTTCACTTACCTTATCTTATCAATCCCTTGCAATACCTGGCGCAGTAAGCATGACAAACAATATTACATCAATTTTGTAGATAGGAAAATGAAGACCTTGAATGAAAGGTCTTGAAAATGAAGAATTGCTCTAAGGACAATTGCTTTAAGTAATTTAACTTGGGAGAGCTAGGACCCAGGTCTCCTGGGTCCTGGTTTAATATTATTTCCATTATACTACACTATCTCCAGGTATAAGGCCACATCTACCACTAGCTGATTTAAATGGCAGGAAGAGATTTCTCTGGCTACAGCAGGATGAGCTCATCCCATCCCAAGACTAGGTCATAATGGGACTGTGCTCCTGACTCCAGCTAAAATTTGTAGAAGATCCTCCTTAGCCAGCTCATAGTAGCAGCTTTAGCTTGAGTTCTTGCCTCTGGAAAACAATGAGCTCTTTTTATATCCTTTCTATAGGTGACCTAGGGACCCATTTGCTCAGGCAACATTATGAGCTGCAAAATTTAAAAAAAGGGGGGGGATATGATATACAAACA